AGCAATTAGCAGTTACTAGCCATTCATGCATGAGAAATAGCAGACCCATGACAGGGTGCCTGAGGGCAGAGGGACAGACAGATTTGCTGGTACAGGGAGTGATGGTTGCAGGAAGAGAGGTCTGATACAGGAGCCAGCTGAAACTGTCCATGACAGCAGCCATGCACATCTTTGTTTACAACAAGACATAAGAACACGAGGGAGCCCTGTGAAAACTGCTGACCTACATGTACGAATTCTTTAGTGGGTCAAACACAGTGCCAACAGTGACAATGACATTAAATTATTACTGCTGTTGTTTGTCTTGCAATTATTCACTCCTCCTTCTCTTTGTTAATAATACAAATCAGGTTAGGTGCCTGGAGTACTTTGCACTGTCAGAAAAGACCTGATCTAAAGATGTCCCAGCCTTGCCCACATGCCAAGACACAAGTCTTCTCATGCTATGGACTCAGAGCTATTAATTTTCACAGTACTGCACAAGCAGGACTTTTAGTTTCTTGTCATAGCTTAGAAACGGTAACTAACATACACCAAAATCCTGATAAAGAAAAGGCACAGGTTGTGAGCTCAAGTAACAATAAATGAGTGAGCAAAGCATAAAACTTTTCACCTGTGGACAGATATTTATCATGGATCAGATTTCTATCTGTTAAGAGAAGCTGTTTGTTGAAGTAAAGTTGAAGTTGATACAAGGAAAAGTAATATACTTAAAGATAAGAGCAGATTACTTAAATTCACTATTCATATGCAAACATAACTTTGGTATAAAATCTTAAAAAGCAGAAATGCAAATCTAAGAATTGCAGAGAAAGGGATATAGTTTGTAAGCAAAGAAGCTGGGATGATCAGCAGAGAACGTTTTTCTTTATTAACATCTCTGGTATTCTCATTTGCTGTTTTATTTTAAAGTATACAGATTACAGTGATTTTAAATGCCAGTGTTCCAATTAAAGCTACATTTCTCTTTATACAATACGTTAAAGTTCAGTTGATTTGAATTCAATGACACTGTCCTACTTGAAATTTATTATATTGTCTCAAATGTGGTTTTGGATACTGTTACCCTCTGAATGTGAATACCAAAAAAATAACCTGTTTTTATTTTTTCTTTGTGGTTTTACCCAGAACAGTCCATCTGGGTTGCTAGGCTAAAGATAAAATATTTTTTAAAAATTGCATTTCAAACAGCAAATACAAGTTTCAGTCATATGATATGAAAACGATCCAGCCTATATAACTCCTACTGCTTACTTTCAAAAAATTCCCTTGTTCTGAAGTCAGTTCAGTGGTTATTAGAAGTAGTCACTGATGTAAATTCCATCTTGTTTATGAAAATCTTTTGAACAAAGCATTGATTGTCCAGGGATCATAAAAAAGTTAAAATCTATAAAATGTTGGCATTGCTGCTATTTGGGGCATGAGAATGACATGCATATAAATCATAGTTTATTGGCACAGACTTTTATACTCAGAAAGAAGGCTTTGCTGAAAAGGTACTGTAATTCCTCTCTTTTATAGATTTGTTTTTAAAGTATTCTGAATCAGGAGAAAAATCAGAAGCAAATTCTAGTCTGCAGTAGGAATCAAGGGCACAACAGGTCTTTTATGGCATGGGTTAACAACTGTAGATGGGCAGCTTAGGCAGAGTTTGGGGAAATCAGGGTGTCTGGAAAGGCCTTGGAACGCAGCTTTGGGAGGGAAAGTCATCCATGTAGCTGATGTCCCTCCCTGCAATCTCAACCACATCTCTGTTATCCTGGGGACAGTAATCTGTTGCTTTATTTTGTAGGAAAGGGCCCTACTGTCATCATTTAGGAGAGGTAATGGTTTACTAAAGGCTTTCAAAGGAGTACTCTGTCCCATTCTACCCATCATGAGGTGGGTAAAAGAGGGCTTTTATGTTGACAGATTTTCCTCTTAACAGGAGGGGATTTTTCTGGGGACATTTTTGCATACTTTGATCTGTAGCCCCTCCAACAAGGACAAGGAGAGCAATCTCCTGCCAATACTTGACTAAGCACATGAAGGCCCCTTTGTGCCTTATACACCACTGCTTTTCTTGATCCATGGCTGGTGAAACTCCTCTCCTGGTGCAGTCCCAGATGAGACGTCATCCAGGCGAGGTCTTTCTCTCTGTATCCACACTGAACAAGAACTGGCAGTGTTATTTGTTGGTTTAAAATGGCATCATGGTGGAAAATAAGTGTTCAGGTCTCACTGCACAAAGTGATCTAATTCTCTTGGATTTTATGACAGGAAGATTTTAAAGGTGTTGGTCACCTAATCGTTCTAAGAATGACTTAGTTTTAGAAGCTTCAAGTCAGCTAGAACATGTAGGATAGCTGCAGAATCCCAGTCTCAAAGGGCATGCCCCACTGGATGGTGCAAAATCAACAGCACAAACTGTACAGGACCATTCACGTCCTGAGATCAGAGCACCCTGTTCTGGCATTGCTCGAGATCCAGACAACAGAACTGTCTGGTGTAACTGAAGTTACACCAGAGAAACAGCAGTGAACCAGCCTAAGAAGCCTCACAGCTAAGTCTTTCCTGTTTCTTTTCCAGTAGCAAAATTATTGGCAGCCACCAGGGATCAATGCTGTTGTTAGCATTGAAGTGCTGCACCGAAGAGCAAACACTCCAGCGATCCAAGCAATTTTCTGTTAAGTCATTCTACTGGACTGCAGGGCTTGTGGGTGGGATTATCCCAAGTGAAAAATATGGCAATGCTGCAAGACTAAGTCCTTACTATTTCTTGGAATTTTAGTAAGGGCCATAAAATTCATTGTTGGCACCTGAATCTTTAGAAGCACTGAGCAAATTAAACAATCAAGGCTCAATCCTGCAGCTCTTCTCCTCATATGATGCTTATTAAAATTCATGTGGTGAAGTGCTCCTTGAATGGATTCCAAAATTTTCAAGCAGAAATGCCTAAAATCAGGTTCATAAATCCATATCTAAATTTTTTAACAAGGTTAGGCTCATTTTACAATTTTCTTGAGCTTCTGAAGATTGCAAATTCTAGAGCTTTTGAAAAAAAAAAACACCAAATTTTAAGAAGATCTTTAAACTGAGTTAGAGTCTGCATTAAGACCATTTTCTAGAATTTTCCAGAAGTGTCCATCGTACGTGTCAGGACTAGTCCTGTGAAGGCTAAAGGAGGCATGATCTAGCAGCCCTGTTGTGTTCTGGGTTGATTATAGTTCTCTGTAGTTAAGATACCACAGGAGAGCTGATTAAGATGCTGTACATATGGCTAATGAGGATGATTTCGGTCAAGTTTGAGACTTGACCCACAGACGGTTATGGGATATTCCCACTGAAAGCACAATATTTCTACTCCCCTTAACAAAGTGGTCCATCACTGATCACAAGCCATGACTATTCCATAACTCTGCCTGTAATAAATAAGTTCATCCTCAAAAAAAAGTCAAGGAAAGAGTAAATGTAGGAGATCAGAAAACTGTGAAGAATGGCTAGTAAAATCACAGCCAAAATTTTACAGTTTTGATAATGTGTGTAAGTCAGAGCCATGGCATACATGCCTAAGTTGTGCCAGCTTGTCTGCACACATAGCATGCAATAACCACGTCCAGAAATGTTGTGTTACAAAGGATTCTCCATTTAAAGGAGACAATTAATGAGTTGCACAGTTCTTCTTGTGATTGTCTTCTGTAGTGTTTGATCATATTTTTAAGCCAGAGGATCTGTTTAGGAGAGCCAAAACTATGTATAAATTAAACAGAATCACAGGATATGTTGAGTTGGAAGAGACCCACAAGGATCATTGAGTCCAACTCTGAGGCCTGCACAGGACCATCCCCAAGAGTCACACCATGTGCCTCAGAGTTTCAGAACTGGGTGTGAGGGAACTAGAAAGCCTGCTGGCCTGGCAAAAACAGCGTTGAGACAGGAAAGACACAGTTATCAGGACAAGGATTTGTGCATGTGTTAGAATAGCTGGTGCGTCAGGGAATGTGTGATTCAGCCACACTGTCCTCTACTGGCTCTCTGAAAACGATGTTTTCATTCATGCTGTTTTCATTCTTTGGTGCCCAATTTAAAGCATTTCAACAGAATCATACTTTCAGAGAGCCCATCTCCTTCATCTCATCTCTCTCTGCCCTTAATGCATCTAAAAACCAAGAAAGCAGAGAGTCTTTATGACTACGAAAGTTTCATGATGTTTACTCTCCAGCTTTTAAGACCTTTGTCAGAAGCAAGGAAGAGTTTCAGTATGCTCCCGTGTAGTCTTCTCTTTCTACCTCCTCCTCTGTTTATGTTGTTTCTTTTTCTCGGTGTTTACCACTCTTTCTTACACACATTTTCACAGAAGTGACGGAAACTCCTCCAATCACTTTGGCAAAGTGGAGCTGTCTGCAAACACCACATGTGGCACAGGGTGGTCTGTGACCTCCTCCCACAGAGACCACCCCACAGCCACCCTGCTGCCAAAGCCCTTCAAATTCTGCCCAATACACGGCTCAACCCCCCCCTTGGTAATAATAATACAAAAATACGGTAAACTTACAATTGTAAATGTTCTCCAGTCTGGGGATTTTTTCCTTCACAAAAGCCTTCCTTCCCATGTTTCATTCCTTACCTGGATGTGAATATTCCTGGTATCCTTGGAAAGATTGACCTGACAAGATCTAAGATAAGGAAAGTGGTGAGGCACTGGCACAGGTTGCCCAGAGAAGCTGTGGATGCCCCATCCCTGGAAGTGTTCAAGGCCAGGTTGGATGGGGTTTTGAACAACCTGGTGTAGTGGAAGGTGTCCCCGCTCATTGCAGGGGGTTGGAACCAGGTGATCTTGACAGTCCCTTCCAACCCAAACCCTTCTGTGATGCTGGGAATCTAAATGAAAGCAGGCCTTTCCACTGCTGGCCCATGCATGTCCCCTGGCATGCTGCTCCAGAGATTTTCAGCTTGCAAGCTGACTGCTCTGTGCCTTGTGGGGATCCTGCAGACACCAACAACCTGTGTGCTTCTTTCAGGTTCTGGACGACAGCTGAGACCAGCTGAGCCCCCCGGAGATGCTGATGCCGATGCGGATGCAGAGGATGAAGATTCTGTGAGTTTTTTAAAGTTTTTCTGTGATGAGAGTTTGGCAAAATGAGATCTTAAATATTTTGTTCATAGCTGGGTCTTGCTGGTGATTTTCCTCCCCATTAAAAATCCCTGCTTGGGATTGTCCTGCCAGCTCAAAAGCAAGAAAGTTGCTTCAGTAAAAAGGCTTCTACTCTTTGCCATGATTCACCAGCATAAGTTTACTACCAAGACTTAGGAAACTATTACATGGCTGTTAACTACAGTAATTTTTCTTTAAAGATTTAGATGGTTTAGGTTCCCTGTTGTCTGACTCCAGAAGGAAGCATGCCAAGTGCTTGTCAGCAGAAATTCCTGCTGGGACTTTTCCATGGTTTGCTTGGTTATGCAGGGCAATAAAGCTTGAAGCCACAGGATGCAAATAAAGCAGGGGAGGGATTTTTTTTTTGCCTTTTTCAATTATTACTTATTGATCTGTCAGTATTTTCAGTCTGTTCCATCTGTAGATGCAAACAATACATAAAGAAAACCAGAATCAGTGTACTGCTGTTTTTGTCTCTCAGGACTCTGTCCCTTGTGTTTTTGAGTGCTTTAACATGAGAATTGTATTTGGTTTTGACCTAAGAAAAAGACTTATTGGTTGTTTTTCATCCAACATACTAATGAAAGATTTATACTCAGAATGAGACTATGAGTAACAAGAGAAACTCTCCTAAGAAAATGAGTCACTGTTAATTGGTTGATGTTTCTTTACCACCACTCATTTCTGTTCCACAGGTTAATGAAGTGGCAGTAGAAGACATTCGTCCAAGGCCACAGGGATCCTCTCCAGTTTATGAGTATCCCACAGAAGAAGAATATTTAAAGGCAAGACACTGAGTTTTTCACGCAGGCATGGCTTTACCAAGTTGATTCAAGAGGCTTTAACTCCTACAACTTGCAGAGACTCATATGTCATATAATGGGATATTGTTGCAGCCATATTGTCTTCCTGTCCCCGCCAAAATCTGGTCCATGTTCATTGATGGTTTTATTTGACTTCCTTCCTTAAAGAACACGGGACAGTGTGTAAAGAAATCACAGTGTTTTTCCTGTTAGAATATATAACTGGCTTGAATCTAGCAAATAAGTGTTTCAAAATTACCTGTACCTCTTGGTTATTCAGTGTTAGAGATTTAATTAGTACAGCCATGTTAAGATAAGTAGGCAGTAGTTTGAAATTCATACTGAACTTGAATAAGTAAAAAAAAAAAAGCACATTTACAAAAATAAAAGCGTTGGCAATGTGCTACATTAAGACACAGAAAAGCTCCCCGTGTCTTAAGACATTTGGTCTCTGGCATTCATTTAACGTGAATTTTGGTACAATGAAGGGAGGCCTTGGCATCTAATTTACTACTGGGAATAGCATATTTAAATCATTCATGTTGTACATTGCACTTGCAGATCCCAATTTTGTTCTGTTGCCATTAAAGTCAGCCTCAGTTCTTAGTCTAAACCAGGACTTTTAACTGACTTTTGTTCTACCTGACAACAGCATGACTTCTGAACACTAAATAATTGAAAATTATTTTTCAGCTTCAAGAAGAAAACAAAAAACATTCTACAGACAAATCAAAACAGAGTCATCCACAGGTCAGTCTAAAAGCACTTGTAGGCATGAGCCTTGCAAAATAAAGTTTATTATAACACACAGACATGGAGGATGGACAGAAGGAAGGACAAATGGGTGAAGAATCGCTTTAGACTTGGTTTGACCAGGAACTTCACGAATTGCCTAGTTGTGGCACAGGCATAAGCACCTACTTGTCCTATTCAGGGTCCTTCCATAATTCTTTTTAGCATTCTTCCTTTATCCTTCTCTGGTTTGAATACAGTAGAGCATTAGCTCCTAGTCTGTCTTTTTTGGCCCATTGACTTTAATTCAAGTGTTTAACATCTTAACAGAAAATCTTTCAACCCTAAAAGATTCCATGTGTTTCACATTTTAAAATTATAACATGTTTTCCCTGTGACCTTGATCCAGTGTAACCCTAACACGTGCTTAATTCTAATTTAGAACAGAATCAAACCCACACTGAACACGAGTGGGTTATCTCCATTTTAGATAATCTTTCCTGAGCTATTGAAAATATACCTCATGAGACTCAACTTTTTATTGTAATGTAGAACTCTTTGATACAAATGAATAAAAATTATAAATTCACACCTTTTTCAATCTCTAGGAGACAATGGAAGTAACACTGAAAACAGAAGCGGAAGCTGGTGCTAGTGGTTTTAGTGTGAAAGGTGGAGGAGATGAAGGAATATTTATTAAAAAAGTACTTAAGGAGTCTCCTGCTTCAAAAATATTTAGTCTTAAAGAAGGTACAGTCTGATTTTTTATTTTGTTTTGATTTTATTCTATATCTTTAAATAATGAGATATATAGCTGTGTGTGCACTTAGATACCTACCTGATCTGTTATCTCTTTAGGTAACAAAAATAGTAGATTGCAAACCAGCTAATGTTTATGTGAGAGCTTAAGCTGTCTGTATTAATAAATTCAAAGACCACTTGCTTGAGCAATAATGAAATACGATTTTTTAGTATATGATAAAAAAAATTTTCACTGGAACAGTGAAAAAGACACATAGAAAGTGGTATATCCATAACTAAAATAAAAAAAAAACAACAAAGACACAACTCATGACATGCATGAAGAATCTTCCTTTGATTCTTTCACAAAATACAGCCTGCCACAGAACTGCAATAAATAATGGTTTAAACAGGAACAAAAGTCCAAAGTCTAAATACTGGAAAATGTAAGAAAAAACTTTGTTAATGTCAGGGTGGTCAGATATTGGAACGGGTTTTTCAGAGAGGTAGTGACGTCACCATCCTCAAAACCTAACTGCACACAGACCTGAGCAACTGCCTGCAGCTGACCCTTCACTCAGCAGGGCAGTTGGACTAGATGATATCCAGAGGTCCTTTCCAGCCTTAACTATTCCATGATTCTATTACGTGAACATAATTTCATATTTTAAATAAAAGGATGTGATAAGTATTTTTTGGGGGGCATTGTTTCAACAGAATTTGAAAAACTGTAAGTAAACACAAAGTAATTAAAATGATCCGTGATTCCACTTGCAGGTGATCAGCTTCTAAGTGCTACAATATTTTTTGATAACATCAAATATGAAGATGCACTCAAGATTCTCCAGTATTCCGAGCCATACAGAGTCCAGTTCAGCCTCAAAAGAAAAATTGCTGTGAAAGAAGAGCCGGAACATTCTACAGCTCAATACAAAAAGGAAAGAATAAGCCAGGTAGCTTTTGATTAGTTTACAAAGTTTGGATAACATAGTGTAGCAATGTGGAAATAGATCAGAAAACACACTTGTGTCTTCTTAAGACTGAGTTGTGTGTTCAAACTTACTAGCATGACTATTCATGACCAAAAAAAAAAAAATCCCGCACAGTATTTGCAGCTTTTTAAATCCTGAGTGAGACCATAGATTTTATATAAATACACAATTTTGTGTTAGGGTATAAAAGTATTCTTTAGTGAGTCAGCCTTTTTTTGGTTCTTAATTGTCGACTGATAGAACAGACTCAGGTAATCTCTGTAATAATTATATGCAATATTTTCAAAAATGTAAAATATCAGTAAACATTTTTCTCCAAAGCTCATCCATGAGATTTTTTTTTTCTTAAAAATATGTTTAATTACTGATATCTTGATAGACATGATCTGTTTATAGGTTTCCATCACCTTAAAAATTATTTTTTCTTCATATACATCTATATAAATAATATATATTATTTATATTTGTACAGATATATAGAGAAATATATTTAGAAACCTCTATTTAGTGCAGTGTTTTGCAAAGAATGTAAACCTTTAGAAATCAATATATTACAGTCGTAGAATCCATTTGTTTTGTGTAATTTCTTCCAGACACTATATACATATATACATATATATATATAATTTTCATTATTTTTTTATATAAGAAGTAGATACTATTAATAAAAAGAACTTTTTTCTGCATATTTTACAGTATGTCTTTTATTTTCTGTTACACCTATATTTAGGTTACTTCTAATACTCTGACTACTATTTGTTCTTTCAGGAGAAAGAACTCAGTGAGAGCATTCCTGAAGAAACGCTTCATGTTTCAGGAAAAGCCATTTCAGAAGAAGACAGGGAAACATTAATTGCAAGCCAAAGAGTAGGAAGAAGCAAGAGACCTAAAAAAGACAGATTATCATGGCCAAAATTCCAGTCAATCAAAAATAAAAAGATATTGAGGCACAGAAGATCTCATAGTACATCAGATGCATATGAGCCTGCTGTACAGGATATTTCTCCTACAAGCACAGACACAGAGTCTCAATTTCCACAAGAACTCCATACCAAAGAAAAAAAAGGAAGCCAAAGGAAGCTGAAGTTCCCTAGCATTGGATTCAGAATGCACAGGTCCAAAACAGAACTACAAGACAAACAAAAAAAAGAAATAAAAACTACACTGATCTCTGAAAGAGAAAAAATACATGAAGAAGATATTAGCCTGGAAAATCCTGAAATCCTAACTGTTGAATATACCACATCTCCTGCTTATGAAATGAAAATAGGGGAGGTACAGGAAACTTTACCAAAAGACTTAAAAGATATGAAAAATGGCATCCCATCTCCCATAAAACAATGCCCTGAAGTTGAAATAAGCATTAAAAAAGAAAAAGACAAGGAATCAACATCAAAATTTAGTTTACCTGAGGTACCAGACATAACAACAGAGATGTCAAAGCCCAGTTTAGAAACCCCTGACCTGAAAGCAAGTCCAACTGAAAAAACATCACAAGCATCATCAAAATCCCGAAAAAAGAAACAGAAAGGAACACCAGTTAAAAAAGAAGGAGAAAGTGAAATTAACATAGACTTGATGGGTCACACAGCTAAAGGAACTACACAGGTAAAAGGCCTAGAAATAGGAACTGCAAAAGCAGAATTAAACACATC